AAAAAAAAAAAAAAAACTTTGCACAACCGTACATGTAAGAAATGCTCTTGCTTCAGTTTTGTCCACTGGCTGACAGTCTTAGTCTATGATAAACTGATACATATCTTGCTGCTGTTGTGATCATTTTGGAATCTTCCCCTAAAATGTCACTTAATTTTTCTGTATTTGGTAATGCCATAAAATGTGGTTTCATTTGTTGTAATTTGGGGAAATATGCAGCTCTAATGTTGTGATAGTAACTCTAATAGTATTTTCTCTCTCTCTCTCTCTCTCTCTCTCTCTCTCTCTCAAAAGGATCGGTTGCCCCTGGCTGTGGTCGGAAGCAACACTATCATTGAGGTGAATGACAAGAAGGTTAGAGGAAGGCAGTACCCATGGGGAGTGGCAGAAGGTAGATGCACTTGAAAAGCCTTTGACAATGAAATGCTTTTATAATTTTTAGAGCTGCAGTTTTAATTTCAAACCTTGTGATCATTTTGGTTGAGCAGCTAACATTAAAAAATAAATAACTATAAATGGGTTTGTGCAGGATCAGTTAATTTGTGAATATGTACTGAAACTTTGTTCCCACGGTCATGGAATTTGTATAAAGTCTTTATCCAGCTGTTAACAATTATAAATGGCATTTGACGTATAGCTTGTTGTGTTTAAAACCTAATAATCTTTTCTTTCTCCACAGTTGAGAATGGAGACCACTGTGATTTCACACTCTTAAGGAATATGCTTATCAGGTACAAACATAGCCACCGCAAATCAAAATGCATTGAGTTTGCGTTTGGCTGAAGTCTTGTGGGAATTAACTGTGGAAACACAACAACAATAGCTTTTGGAGAGTGAACGAGACTCCGCTTTAGCAATTTGACCACAAGAGCAACTTTTGTGAAATGCATTGCTTAAAAAGTGTGCTTTTGCTATTTTTCGTCAACATAAATGCCACTTGGTTTCATATTTTATATATCTAATGTATTGGCACTCATACTTTAAGAATGGCTTTGTGGAGCCAGTGTATACAAATTTACTTGTTTTGTGTCAGAACCCACATGCAGGACCTCAAGGACGTCACAAATAACGTCCATTATGAGAACTACAGAAGCAGGAAGCTTGCAGCTGTTACCTGTAATGGAATCGACAACAACAAAACCAAAGGCCAGCTCACCAAGTAAGTTACGTTTAGTAACATATCACTGATATTAAACAATTCAGTCTACTTAATCCAAGAACAAATGACAAAGGCCTTTGCCTGCATGGTTTGTCCTGAGATTCAAGATGTTTATGTACTATCAGTGTAATCGGAAATGCCTGGAATAACGTAAGACGGCAGATGGCCTGCCTCATCTCAGACACTTAAAACATGCTCCACTCTGACCTCATTGCGTCACAATGTGTGAATGTAAATTATAACACTCGAGCAACAGTGTGTTTTCCTGGCACTTTACGTTACTCCACATCTTTAGTGTTTCGTATATGAATTTGAACAGCTGTCTGATTATTAGTATTGTCATATTAGCATTTATACTTTTGAATAATTTAATACATCTGAAATAACAAACAAACCTACACCTACTCTGAAATTAATGTTAACCTATTAACTTTAATGGTGAACATTTGTTAGGGATATATATATATATATATATCATTTTTAAAGAAGGTTTTGGATCAATATAAGTGATGCTTAATTGTCAAACAGCATTGTGACATTTTATGTTGCATCATTTCCTGTTGTCTGGTGTATTGGAGTGCACACTGTAAACCATCATACTTGCATTTGTGGCTGGCCTACTTCTGTTTTTAAAGTCAACATAAAATGCTGTTTGCAAGTAAAACTGGATATTCAATGGGGGAAAATGTACGGCAGCACTTTATTTTATCTATTAGGAACTGGTTGAATCATGAGAAGTGGCTGTTACAGAATGGAATCAGGTGGTTGTAGGGGAAGGGTTGTATAATATAATGCAATGTAATGTAATGTAATATAATGTATACTATGCAATCTAACATATAATGAAAAACAGGAAGGGGTTTAAATAAGTAAATGGGGTCAGTTTCTATTTCATGTTGACGTTTGAGGAGGTTTATATTAAGATATCCCTTCACAGTTTGCTGTGCTCGCTAACCTTTAATTTAAGAAGCCAGACTCTTAACACACATGCATGTGCACGCGCTCGCAGACAAGTTTGAGGTGACGTCATGCAGGTTCCAAGTAGTCGACAGTCACCTCTAACCTAAAATAAAAAAAATTGTTTGTTTGTTTTTTTTTCTTTTCAGAAAACCACATTATAAGTGTTATAATCCAGACTAGTCTTTCCTCTCATCTGCTTTCTGTTGACAATATTTTGCTCTTCAGTGCACAGTATGATTTGTAGCATGCTAAGTGTGTGTGTTTTTGTCTTTTAGAGTTGACACGGTTGAAGGCATGTAAGTGGTCATTTAAATTTTTCCAAATCCCTGTGTTGTACGGACCCTCTCTTCCTCTGGGAACAGTGTCTTTCGGTGTCTGTTATCTCCCTCTTTTTCCAACAGTTCCATGTGTGATTTTTCCGGGGAGTAATAGACCTTGTGACAGCAACCCAGTTGTACTGGTTAGATTAGGGGAAACTAAACCCTTCCTGATATATGAAATATGGTCCAGAAGTAGTTCCTCCTGTTTGTCTTTGAGAGGGAGAAAAAAAAATAATTCACAGATGTATTGCAGTTCTTCCTCAGACTTTGATTCACAAACATGGTTGCATTCAATTCAAATGTATGCATTTCTAGTGTCATTTTAGTATCATTTATATTATGGCTGTCATGGTTTCTCGATTAAATTTGAGTACTCAGTTATCCACCTTATTATTCACAGATGTATTGCAGTTCTTCCTCAGACTTTGATTCACAAACATGGTTGCATTCAATTCAAATGTATGCATTTCTTTGTAGTGACAATAGTGACAAAAATTGAGATTAGTGTCATTTTAGTATCATTTATATTATGGCTGTCATGGTTTCTCGATTAAATTTGAGTACTCAGTTATCCACCTTATTCTTCAATTCGGATGTAGGCCATTTTCTGTGAATGTGCGAGAGGTTCTTTGGCAGCTGTAGGGAAATGAGAAGAATAACAAAGTGCACTAAACGGTAAAACTGTTTACACTACTAACTAGTGTGTTCATAATTAATATAATACATTAAAATAATATGGTAAGACACACCAGTTTGCAATCTCAAGCAGCAAAACGAGCTGTTTTGTAAAGCTAAAAATAGCTGGAAGCGAATGACACCGGAAATTAGACCCATTAAATTTACAAATGGCCGCGCCCGCTCTTATGGGAAAAATATAGGTTACGTGCATCTCAGAGCGGCTCCGTTCACAGTAAATGCTACTCCACACAAACATTTACATTTATCATTTACATGCACGGTCAGACCGTCTCAGACTCCATCTTTGCGTATGCTGTTGGTCTGAGTTGCTTATAATGTTAATCTGGGAATATTGTGAACCATTCTATCAGATTTATAAGGTAAATCATTTATAAACTTACACCAGCACAGGAGAATACATCATTATCTTTCTAAATATGCTAACTGTTTATTTCGATTTCAAAATAAAAGTTTAAATCCTCGCTCTGAGTTTGCATGTTTTGATGTCCACATGTTCTTGTTCAAGAAATGAACTCTAGCATTTCCATCATAAATAACTGGCCAAATATTAAAGATTAAGTGGTCAATATTAAACAAGGATTAGATCACGCTGTAAAGTGTAAAAACAATCGTCAGGCCGTTGGTGCCCTATGCAGGCATTTGATATAATACATAATGTACATAAATTATGATTATATTGTTTTATTATATTATGTATCTTAACTGTATTGTTCTATAAAACCATATGCCTCAAACCTTATTGCTTCATTGCTATTATATATGTATTTTAAGTCCTTTTAAAGTCTATTGTTCGCTTAGGTCTATTTTTATTACCACGGGAAAAAAATATCAGATTACTCAATTAATCGTCAGAATAATCGACCGATTATTTGACTGCCAAAGTAATTGTTAGTGACAGCCCTAATTTATATACTATTATAGTTTTTTTTATATATTTAAATAGTATTTATTTTATTTAATATTAGTTTATATTAGTCTGTTTTCATATTTTCAATTTTTTTGTTTTTGTTTCGAGTAATGATTTTTATAGTGTTTTAGTTCAAATTTTTTAGTTAACGATAATAACCCTGAATGAGATGCATCTTGAATGAATAATTTTTAATTGTTTGAATACAAATCATATCGTGAGGCGTCTAACGATTCCCACCATTGTTTCTGCCTTCGCATATGTTCCTGCCATACCTCTTCACAGCTTTCCTGCGCTGCTCACTAACTCTGATCAGCATAATCGCTTTGGCCATTAACTGCTTTCAGGTTCCTCTGGAACCAGGGTGTTTGTTCGATGTTCTTCCTCCTTTTCTATGCCTTAGCAAGACTGGCCATGGTAAGCCATGCGCGTTTAGTTGCCAGAGGTGTTAAGTGGGAGCGATTGGTCACGGGTGTCACATTGACCTCATCTTTGTGATAAGGAGTGGGCAACGAGGGCTTTGTTGGTCCACCTTTCCATCTCTTCTTGTCTTGTGAAGATGCACAGGGATGCATTGCTCTAGAGGAAACTGGGATGTGCTCTCATGATTGTTAATTGCATGTGTCAATACTAGGAGTCCTCTCGCCCAGATGGAGGAGGAGAGAAGGGAGCATGTGACCAAAATGAAGAAGATGGGAAACTCTGGAATCTGAGGGTGCAAAAACAAAAGAAAATTAAAAAATGAGGGTGAGAAAATCATCTTTAAAGTTGTCCAAATGAAGTTCTTAGCAATGCATATTACTAATCAAAAATTAAGTCTAAATTAAATATTTACGGTAAGAAATGTACAAAATATCTTCATGGAACATGATCTTTACATAATATCCTAATGGTTTTAGGCATAAAAGAAAAATCGATAATTTTGACCCATACAATATTTTTTTGGCTATTGCCCAAGCGACGTAAGACTGGTCCAGGGTCACAAATATTATAAATTTGTCCCTGATTTACAGAAGAGACCTACTAAAATGTCATTCAGTGTAACAATCTTATCAGGCATATTTACAACAAAAATCAATTTATGACATTAAAAGACTAATTACTTTTACCCCAAATACTAATTAGTGGTAATTTTACATTTTTACAATTTGCCACTATCCTAGGTTTTGCCCATTTGTCAGTAAGAATTTTTTACTCATTTAAAACACAAATTGAATATGCTTCCTTATTCTTTTATATATTTTAATATGTACACCTCAGAATAAGCATGTTTGAATTTTTACATAAATATTGTGTTACACTGAATGACATTGTAACATTATTTCAACCAAATTTTGACATTTTATTCTCCAAAAACGTATTTGAAACCTTAAAAGTAGACACTTTACTTACATTTAATGTGCTTTCTATGGACAAATACACTTTTGCAAATTTCTTTTGATGCGGACATCTTAATGTCTTTGACCCATATATACATATGTGTGTGTGTGTGTGTGTGTGTGTGTATATATATATATATATATATATACATATTTCACACAACTTTTTTTAATATATAACACAATTTTTGTAAACAGACCCCCTCTGAATTTCTATAATGCATCCCTGCTCAGAGCAGTTTTTTAAAAGTTATTATTGTTTTTTTTTCCTCTACAGGACTTTGGAAAAGAATAAGAAGAAAGGGAAGATCTTTTAAAATCATTAACGATGACCAGGTTGTTCTCATTCGCCAATCCCCCCCGACCTGATATCTGTGTAGCCTTCAGACTCTGAGCTGTCCTCGCAGTCTGACGGAGGCGTTCAAGCTGTTCATGGACGCTAAAGCGTTTACCTTTGTGAAAATCAGTCTTAGGCAAGCCAAACCCATACCGCTCTAAACGAAATGTATACTGAATTCACTTATCAGCTGATGTCTGCAGTCATACTCCAAACAAAATGGAAAAACTAAAAACCATGAACCTCCATAACAGAAGTGCGTTTTTTGAAAAAGAACAAATGTGACTGTGCTCTATTTTCCCTCGGTAAACCAAAGAATCCCATGCAACAGGCCAAATTCTACAACTGTAAATGCACGAATGACATCCGGGGATGGGCAAACGCATTATTTGCTCTTTTGGCTTATAATTTAGTTTTTCTCTTAAATGCAGAAGTGTTTCCAAAGTATAATGTCTGTCTAGTCAATATCCTTTGACCACCTCCTATAACTTCATTAATGTTATTTCAGTTATTTTTATATATATATATATATATATATATATATATATATATGTACACCAAGACAGCTAACGTAATATTTTTTGTATGTTTCTTAGAATACTCAGCAGACGGGTGTCTTAATTCATGAACAGCACCAGAGATATTCTTGAACGGTCGTGCTCATGATAGAGTGGTTTCAACATGTTTGTCTGTAAGCTCACCTCTGCTGTACAGTATTTCAGCTGTTCGGACACGAGTCCAAAGCATTTTTTTTGTTTTGTTTCTTATGTTATGTTCTCTGTTTCTGTATTTTTATTTTATTTTTTCATTTGTATTGTACAGTCTCTTAATAAACTTGTGATTATACAGGTTGATTGCTGAAATAGTGTTGCAATACTGGGAACCGTTGTGCGTTTTTTAAATAAACATCCAAATCTACTAAAAATATACCTACAACAACATTTTTGTACAAGAAACACTGATCGTAATATTGAAATGATCTTGTTATGGGGCAGTTGTCACACGTTCATCACTTCTTATCCCCCTGATCGCATTAAAACACACTTCAAAGTAGTGATATTCAGTATTTACTGATTAGAAATTAATACAAACATAAAATCATTTTAATGAATATTTCCAAATAGGTTTTAGAGTTATATAGCAAGTATACTGTACATTGAACTGTCAAGAATAATTCACGTTTAAAGTGTAGAAATGAAAAGTGGCACCAGTATTTTTAACTTGGTTCTGAAATAATCGTTATCAGTTTCAGCCTGATGCATCATCAACATCGTTTGCCTTTTTCTTAGAAGGATCCTAAAAGAAAATAAAGGTCAGAATTTATAATAAAAACGTTGTGACAGAATGTGTTGTATGTATGCATGCAAAAGGAAAGAAAGAACTGACTAACCTGGTTCGACCACATTACGTTTTCCCATTAGACCCACAAAAGTCTGAAATTTCTGCCCTGGAAGTCATTTGTGAGATAAACCACATTATCAGATTTGATTCACACACTATTCAGCATGAGCAGCCACTTTGTCTTTTGAATGAAGTGTAATAATCGCATTAATGTAAATGCACAGATTATAGGACACCCTTCAGTCATAAGTGCAAAAAAAATGTAACTGCAGGACTTTAAAGCACATTTGAATACAACGCGTTATAAAGTACTGTACACTTGATTAGAAAAACTCCCCAAAGTACTTACGTCTTCGTGTTATCTGTGATTTTGCTGTGAAGTGAAAGCAACATTTATATATACACTGTATTTATACCATATATATCAATTGATAATGCAGAATTGAGAATAAATAATTCTCAACACAATAAATTTTTTTTAAATATTTTTACCAGATCTTTTCCTCATTAGACCAAAAATCTGTTGTAGACCAGGGGCTCGGCTGACGCTTTCCAACATCGTCTTTAGGTCAGATTCTAGCAAATTTACCTTCAGATGATATAAATAATAATTAAGCAATTCAACCAAATGATAAACTTTCATTAGATATTGTTGTTAAATAATCTTATAAATTTTGTATATTCGACTGCAAATGATATCACTTCTATATTCCATAACTAAAGTTAAGGGCATAAAAGAGCAGCACTGTAAGACTGAAATCACTAACCTCGTCTGGATCCCTGTCACTCATCCAGTTATCCTCATCAGGACTGAAGTTCTGGCACAAAATATCTGACAGAGCAGACAGCAGCAGGAGAATCAGCAGGAAGATCTTCATGATGTTGTGAGGTTGGTGGATGCTTTCCAACATCGTCTTTAGGTCAGATTCTAGCAAATTTACCTTCAGATGATATAAATAATTAATAATTAAGCAATTCAACCAAATGATAAACTTTCATTAGATATTGTTAAATAATCTTATTCATTTTGTATATTCAACTGCAAATGATATCACTTCTATATTCCATAACTAAAGTTAAGGGCATAAAAGAGCAGCACTGTAAGACTGAAATCACTAACCTCGTCTGGATCCCTGTCACTCATCCAGTTATCCTCATCAGGACTGAAGTTCTGGCACAAAATATCTGACAGAGCAGACAGCAGCAGGAGAATCAGCAGGAAGATCTTCATGATGTTGTGAGGTTGGTGGAGTTCATGAGTCTCGAACCAAACTCTCAGAAATTCAGTGAATTCACACTGGCTCTATCTGAACTCGGATATGGTGCAAACAGCAGCTCTGTTTAAATAGTGCTGGTGAAATGAGCAGATGATGAATCAGGTGGTGATTATGAATTATTCAAAGAAAATTGCTGCTTCACTGGATTATCCGTGTGAGATTCATCCACTGTCGATTTCAGCTATTATTATCCGTTCTGCATTTGATCTCTGATCCACTCCTGGTTCACATCGTTCAAGATGCTTGACAAATTAGAAGGAGCCTCAGAATTAGACAGTAACTTTACTTCACACCACTTCATGATTTCTTTCACTTATATTCATTTGATTGATGGCTGTAAATCACTGTTGTCCATGTGATGCTTGACTGCATGTGTTTGTAGCTTCTATTCTATTCTATTCCTGAACAAATATTTTAATTTGATATGTTTTGTGCTGGCTGATAGTTTTAAAGGATTCTTTAGTGGCTCTATTTATTAATCACCGTTTATTTTAATATCATTTTAAAATACTATTTACTAACATTAATGATCAATATTGAATTTATTTTAATTTAATTAACATAATTAGATATGATTATTCAATATTTGTGTAATTCAATTAATTATGAATAACTTAATTATTAATAATACATTTGAAAGTGCATGCTGCACAGGAAGCAAGAACAAGGAAAACTAAGATGCTGATATGATGAAATAATTGTTTTTGTTTTTTTACTTTATATGATGAAATGTGAAACTGGTGTTATTGTTAAAATTAAAACAATTAAAATATTTTTGTTCATTGAAATAAAGCTGTAATAAAACAAAACAGATGAAAAAAATTAACTTTAAAAAAAAGTATACTGGGATAAGTATAAGTTGAAGTAACGAAACTGCTAAAAATTAAAACTGACATACAAATAAATCAAGGCTAAATAGAAATATATGTTAAAACAAATCATAATAAATGACAAAAGCACTAAACAAAATGACTGAAAAATAAAAATATAAAAATAAAAGCTAATATTAAAAAGTACTATGATCGTATATAAATAACACTGACGTGAAGCATAATTAATTTGAGGAAATAAAATATTAAAGAAGTGCCCCAACAAGGACATAAAATAAAAGTCTTTGCATATTATCTTGCATATGAAATAAAACTAAATAGATTTTTAAGGCGTTGCCGTTCTTCGTTCTTTCTAATTAATTTTGAATATTTACTTTGTATGATTTTATTTAGTATTTTGCATGGTGATATGCTGCTTCTCCTCTCTTATTGGCCATTTGAACGTGCCACTCAAACCTGACAGGCCTCCTTAGGCCACGCCCCCGCGTTCATCCAAATGAGGAAGAACTTGAAAGTGAAACAATGTAGAGATACACCGATTCGGGAGCG